TAGCGTACTAGTTATCTTGTTACGGAAACTGACATCGGTAGACAGTGATAGCGTACTAGTTATCTTACGGAAACTTACATTGGTAGACAGTGATAGCGTACTAGTTATCTTACGGAAACGTACAGTGGTAGACAGTGATAGCGTACTAGTTATCTTGTTACGGAAACTTACATCGGTAGACAGTGATAGCGTACTAGTTATCTTACGGATACTTACATTGGTAGACAGTGATAGCGTACTAGTTATCTTGTTATGGAAACTTACATTGGTAGACAGTGATAGCGTACTAGTTATCTTGTTACGGAAACTTACATTGGTAGACAGTGATAGCGTACTAGTTATCTTACGGAAACTTACAGTGGTAGACAGTGGTAGCGTACTAGTTATCTTACGGAAACTTACAATGGTAGACAGTGATAGCGTACTAGTTATCTTGTTACGAAAACTTACATTGGTAGACAGTGATAGCGTACTAGTTATCTTACGGAAACTTACATTGGTAGACAGTGATAGCGTGCTAGGTATCTTGTTACGGAAACTTACATTGGTAGACAGTGATAGCGTACTAGTTATCTTACGGAAACTTACAGTGGTAGACAGTGAAAGCGTACTAGTTATCTTACGGAAACTTACATTGGTAGACAGTGCTAGCGTACTAGTTATCTTACGGAAACTTACATTGGTAGACAGTGATAGCGTACTAGGTATCTTGTTACGGAAACTTACATTGGTAGACAGTGATAGCGTACTAGTTATCATGTTACGGAAACTTACAGTGGTAGACAGTGATAGCGTACTAGTTATCTTGTTACGGAAACTTACATTGGTAGACAGTGATAGCGTACTAGTTATCTTGTTACAGAAACTTACATTGGTAGACAGTGATAGCGTACTAGTTATCTTGTTACGGAAACTTACATTGGTAGACAGTGATAGCGTACTAGTTAACTTGTTACGGAAACTTACAGTGGTAGACAGTGATAGCGTACTAGTTATCTTGTTACGGAAACTTACATTGGTAGACAGTGATAGCGTAC